GGTGATAATGCTCCGTAAGTTGACAGGCACACAGCTGGGGTACAGCATTGCTTTGCTCAGAAACAAAGCCTCACTTCCAGACCTCATTAGTGTCTGGGAGAGCAGAACTGAGTCCCCTCTTTCCTACACGTGATATTTATATATGTGACTTCAAAAGGTGCAGCAAGGAGCAGCATGCCATCTGTTCTGTGATGCAGCTGTAGAGAATCTCTATATTGAAGTCTCATTTCTGGTTTGTTTGTTTGTTTGTTTTTTTGGTGGGGTGCAGGGAGTTGTTGCTGTTGTAAAGGAAATAGCAAAATGATAGCTAAGAGCTGAGGCAGAGCTAGGTGGCAAGTTTAACTTATTTCAAATCAATGTGTGCTTTATTCAATGACTATTTGTTAACTCTTAAACTTTGGGGTATGGTAGAAATGGGAGGTTACAGCTATTCAAGATCCTTATAATATATATTTCTGTAATTATTAAGGAATGAAACATCTCACAGCAGGAGTTTTACCTTATGCTTTTCGGATGGAAGCAAGCTCAAGCTGCCCTGTAGTTCTAAATCTTTTCCTTTACAATATTCACTGGAGATATACAACCAAGAGCCTGGAAATACAGATACTGAAGGAAATGAGTGTTGATAGCTGCAGGGAGAAATGCAGTCCTTCTTTTAAGGTTAGACACCATCATGATCAAAAGAAAAGGGGATGAAATTTTGAGAGAACAGAGAGCTGGACGGGCAGAAAATAAAACAGAGTTCCCAGTGTATGTGTGGACCATATGTATGGGCATCTTTACAACACTGCAACTTGAACACAGTCTGCTCAGCCTCTTAATGAGGACAGAATTCAGCCTTTGATTTTCCTCCTCTGATGGAGCTGCAGCTTGTACTACCTGTTGGCATGCTTACCCCTGCTTTGTCCTTCTTCCAGGCTTTTCCTCCTGCCTCCTTCCCCTTGACAGAGGACTTGAAACCAGAGCACCTTTTGTAGAATCATGGAATGGTTTGGATTGGAAGAGGGACCTTAAAGATCATTCAGTTCCAACCCCCCTGCTGTGAGCAGGGATGCCAACCACTAAACTGAGCATTAGAACAGCTTTGGTGGAGGATTTGCCACCAGGAAAAGCAAAGGCCATCCAACAGCCAGAGGATGCTGGAGAGGCAGAGCTCTTAAGCCTCATTCAATCAAGATGTAAAAATTACTGCAGCTTTAGAAGAGCCACTGTTTCAAGCACTGTGTGTTGCTCTGAGGTTGAAATTCTCCTCTCCTCACAGAGAGGACAGGTACTTGTACTAGGTTGGTTACTTGTTTTAATGCCAGCCAGCTGGGAGCACAGCTTGCATGTCCAATTTTCCACTGTATGGCTTAGAGCCACAGCTCTGTCTGCTGATGTCCTCCAATTGTCAACGTGTGTGCAGACAGAAGACAGACTGGTTCCAATTCCCCAGTATAGTAATTCAATTAAAGTTGCAGTGGAAGTGCCAGATACGTACAGGTGGATTTTTCCACTGTACGTTCCTACAGAGGAACTGTAAGTTCCTACAGAACTTCTTCTTTGGTGCAGCTCCATGTTAAGAATTTGTGACACAGTTGCAGGTGGGCTGGTACAGACACACAGACACATGTACTCATGCTCCTTGGAAACGCCAATCCTGAGATAAAAGCAGCACTGGTATTTGTCATGCTGGTACACTGAGGCAAGGTATCCTTGCCTCTAGGGAAGGCTGATGAGTCCAGGCAGGGCAGCTCTCAGTGCAGGCATGCTGCTTGCAAGGCTTGACTTCTGTCTGGCGTTGAGTTCTTCACAGAGCTGTGCAGCAGCTGTCCTTGGCTCTGGGTGCCTCTTCCATGCTTCTGCCATTCATGTTGTGTGTGAGCAAGGCCTGTGTCCTTGAGAATCCAAAGAGCAGGGAGCTGTGGAAGTGCGATGTGTTGGTGCACTCTAAAGACTTGTTCCAGATAAGTCATAGCTCACTTTTAAGCTGCTTTTTATCATCCCAAGAGTTCTTCAACCCTAAAACTGTCCTAAAACTTAAAAGTGTTATGATGCCTCTCAGTTGCAATGAGGCTGTTTACAAGTGGCCTTCCCTTCCATCCCACTCACTTGCTGAGCATTCTCTGCTTAGTTCAGTTAACTGGGGAAAGGAAATCGCTCAAACAGCTCTAGTGCTGACCTTGGTTTCAAGCTAACAGATGAGCAAGGTTAGTAATGTGCTGAAACTGCTCCTGATTTTGTCTTGTTCTTGACAAATTACTCAACGACTGGGATGCTTCATGCAGCACCTGCTCTGATATTTCTGGACAATGCTGAGATGCTGAAACAAAAGGCAGCCTTAATCCTTGTCTGAATTCATGTTTGCCATGGGGAATTAAGATCCACGTGACAAGTGCAGGCTGCACATCTAATAAATCTAAATATAGAGACATATTCCAAACAATATGATCTCAGACTCCTGGTTATTTGCATCTCTGTAGTCTACCAGTCCTTCATCATCCTTTGATACTGACCTCCTTTACTGAACTAAAGATGAATGTTTTTAAGTAGCACAAAAATGTGAATTAGCAGATTCCCTATGAAATAGCTAACATGGACAATATCACTCATTTAATTAAAAAAAAAAAAAAAGGATTTTCTGCTTTTCCCATGTGTGTCTTCTAATCTTTTTTTCTATTCAGTGCAAGTTCTTAGATAAAGTGCTCCAAAAAGAGAATTCATTCATCTCCAATTGTAATGTTCCTTTTTTTTCCCCTCTTATTTTAAGCTAGCAAAGTGTAAAGGAATAATAAATGTCCATTTGGTTCTACATAATTGGAGTACCTCCCTTTTCACAGTTTCAGTGTTGGAGTTACTCTCTTGGATCTGGTTTGCAGCTGTCCTGCCTAACTGCTCACAAGGTATTTGTGTAAAACTGTTAAATATTTATAGTCTTTTGTAGGAAATCTTTTTGTAGCTGTTTTCTCATAGTTGTAAGCTTCTTTCTGGAAATCCTCTAATTGATAGGCTGTATACACACACACGTTCCTTCCAGATATTATCCACATCATCACTGTACTTGAACAAATAACATACAAATAAAAGCTGAATTTTTTTCACGTTAACCTCAGCAAATGGATTTAAGCCACCACACATCTCCTAATTTATAACTTCAGCCCTGGTAGTTTTAGGACAAATCCAGTGGATTTAACTTTAAGCCTCCAAATATATCTCTGCCAACAGCCCTAGGTAGTGTGCTGGTTACCCAGTTCTTTACATTCACTGAGCCTTGCAGTTCCCATGGTTTCAAAGACTTCACTGAAATTAAAGCACCTCTCAGTGTCAGTACAAGTAATTCTCTTGGGTAAATGATTTCTTTGATCTCAGGTGTCCTGACAGAGGTTGCCCCATACAACTGCTGACTGAACGGATCTTCCTGCATTTATTACCTCCTTCCTACTTCAAGAACCGGGGCAAAGATTAAGAACCTACATAGAGATAAAAACTTAGCATGTACCTCTAACACACAAGTGTCGTGTTTTCCTGGAATTTTGCTCTGTCTGCAGTTTGCTTTACAGAGGTGTGTCAGCTTCACCCAGGCTACACCTGACATCCTTTTCATCCACAGTGCACAGGCGGCTCTGGTTGTGGCACATGGAGACAGAGCAAAGAGGAGCAGGGACAGGACGAGGTGAACTGTGCACTCCATACACAGTAACTTGAATTTTCAGGAAGTGTTGGGCTTAGTGCACAAGTGTTGTATGGTATTTCTGTCTATGAAATTCTGCTTGGCCAAACCACAGCTCTGACCAGTGAGCAGCACATGTTCCATCTTCCATGGGATGCCAGATGTTACCTCAAATCCTCCCTTCCTGCCATTTGTAGCTGCACCTTCCATGGAACCTAACTTTTATATGGAACCGCTCTCCAGGGAGCTTTGGAAGGGTATGCCAACAAAGGTCCACCTCCACAATCAAAAATGCACTGTCAGTTATGAAAATGTGAGCTTTACTGATAAATAAACAAGTAACTTGGGTGTGTGACCTTGACTCTCCTGTGGGCTTCTGACTTCTCTGTATCAGAGCACAAGGGGTTACCATTAACCTGCTGAAGAACAGCTTCTGGTCCCAGTTATTCATGTGATTCTACATCAAGCAGATATTTGAAAACCAATGTCTTGAATGATGAGTTGAGATTAAAAGTTACATCTAATTACCTGAGTTTATTTAATCCCTGGAATGCTCACAGCACACTTAGGGCTGTGCTTCTGTTGCCATTCAGGTTTCATTGTGCACTGCAAAATGTTCTCATACTTTGTAAGTCTGGGTGGTTTTTCTGAGGCTGGTGGACCAAAGGTAAATCTCTTTTGAGCACTGTGCTGCTGGGAGTGATAGGAGTACATGGAGAAGTACAAGGATAACGTGTTGGTAACAGCAGGGTGGTATCAGAGCAGGCATCTTACAAAGAGAATGTTTTCCTTTGAACCTACAGACCTTGATTGTTATATCCAGGGTTTCCCCAGGAAGCAGGTAAAAACAAAAAGCTTTTTCTCTTTTTTGTGTAGTGCTCTTTGCTAATCTGGAATCTTAAGTTATTGTCACTGATCAGCTGCCCTTACCTGTTTTGCTGTCTGGACTGCTGTCATCACAATAGCTGAACACAGAACCACATACAATGAGCAGACTGCACCCACTTTTGCTGGACATTGGCTTGAACTTACATTACCAGCTGTACTCTACTGGATCTCCAAAGCAAAACAGAAAAGGACATCACGTAACTGGAACATGAATGGAGGGCAGGACTGAAATCTTACAATCTCCATTATGTAAGCAGGAGCGAGTTTCATCCTAGATGCTGAGGAAAGCTACGGGATGCATGATGTGCCTTCTCTTCATCAGCAGATGGAGACATTTTAAGATGTTCATTTTCCTAAGCAGGGGGTTTGAAGTTGTCAAAGCTTCAGCTATGAAGAAGAATTGTAAAATTGTCACCATCTGTAAGGCAAAATTAAACAATTATCTTTAATAACTTTTTTCTAGTCACAATATTCTGCTGTACGAGGATGGACATGCAGTTGTTGCTGATTTTGGAGGTAACGATTTTATGATAAATCTATAAACTAACCTAAAATTGTCTAAAACTAAATGTGCTTATTGAGGAAAGTTCTAAGAAAGTTCACTTTATTACAAGAGGAGAGGAAAAAGACTCTTAAGGATGAGAATACCCCCTATTTCTGTCTCCTCTAAGTTATATCATGCTGCAGGTACTCTGTAATATGCACGAGAAGAAAGCCCAGGTGACAGTGAGAACAGCCAAATCGTGGGGTGACAGGACAGGCTTCTTTCCTTTTAGCTTACAGAGCAGGATGTAGTTCTTTATTTCATTTATGGACTTTTCTTACTCTTTCTGTTCAACAGTAGGCCAGGCTGTGCTTTATGAACATGTAGCATTGCTATGGTGTGTCTCAGTCAAACTCCTTGCCTGAGATCCTCAGCTCCTATAAACTGCTGTTAACACTGTAAGATGTGTGTAGGTTTATACTGGTACACATTTGGCACCCAGGTTTGAGAAGTCTCACTGTCTGTGTGCACTCATTGAATAACAGCCATCACAGGTTGTCTGGATTTTCCAGACCCTGGTGTTATTGAGAAATACCTTTTACAAAGACTTTTTTTATAAGGCAGGTACCTGCAGTGGCTCGACAGTAAAACCAGCTCTGTTCTCTGTGTTTCAGAATCAAGATTTTTGCAGTCCCTGGATGAAGACAACATGACAAAACAGCCTGGGGTTTGTTTCTTCTTTTGTTCCACGTAGTTAATGTAAAGCCTAAGGGCAAATCCAGGTTAGGAGAAAATGACCTTAAAAGTAGGTTTGGTGGGATTGGTGAACTGGAGTAGCATGGGTAATATTTTTTTTTCCTTTAAGCCTCTTTTACTAGCAGAGATCCATGAATACAAATAAAATTATTAATCTGCAGTAAAAAGTAACTTATATACAGCTCTTCCTTCAGTAGACTTATCAGTTATCCTATGGAACAGTGGAGGCAAGGAAACAAAGAAAGAAAAACAACGATGTAACTAGAGAAAAAAACACAGGAGGAAATAAACTCTGCTAATAAACATGTGATGTTTCTTGCATGCAGAACCTGCGCTGGATGGCCCCCGAGGTGTTCACTCAGTGCACGAGGTACACCATCAAAGCGGATGTGTTCAGCTATGCTCTGTGTCTCTGGGAGCTGCTAACCGGCGAAATTCCATTTGCTCACCTAAAGCCGGGTAAGACACGCAGTGAATTAACGTTTAAAGGGCTCTGAACTAGTTGCATAGTAAAGGATTAATTAGTGCTTTACTAACAATCGTTATTAGGTGCCAAGACTCAGTGAAAGGCACAGATCTACCCCACTGTAATGCCATCTACTATTTATTTTTATTACAGTGGAGGTTTTCAACCTCCCATGCCACTGGCAGCAGCCTTTGCACTCTGTCCTCCTGTGTCTGTGCCTTTGTGCAGCACGCTGCACACAGGAGGCAGCCTGGTGGAACTGCACAGATGCATTTCACTCCAGTAACTGAAAAACTCATGAAAAATTGTGGGTATCTTGTTTTTAAGTGGGTTTGAGGTACAGAATAGAGTTGCTGGGGGAAGAGATGTGCAAGATTTGTCAGATGGCATTCAGATAAATCTTTTTCTTTTATGTTTGGAGACAGCATTTTGATCTTTACAAAGGTGGCTTTCTTTCAGTTCCAACAAATGGTTGTGCCCAAGAATATAAATGGTGCTGATATTGCATAAATATACCTCACTCATCTATTTTTTCCATGTGCATCTGTATGTCTAATTCTGTTTCTTAGCAGCCTATCATTGTGCTATTCCCTGATTTGGTCAATTGCTTTACAAAGTACCCAAATACTAAATGAAATCCAATGCGTTCTTTAGTGCGGTCTCTCTGAAGTACTTTTAACTGATATGCTTATTAGCTGAAGGAAAAGTCCTGCTGATAGAGGAGGGAGACAAAAAAAAAAGTGACAAATTAACTTTGTCAAGTATGGTAGATGTGTACACAGCTGAAAACACACCTGTGTTTTCCCCTTTTTCTAATCCTGTGAAACTGATGGCAGAAATTGTTAATTTGGCACAAGAAGATTTGCCAGTAGGTGGTACATTGCAGTACCTTTGGTGAAAGGAGGGAACATTCCTCACTGCCATCTTAATTTACTTTGCATTTGCCTTCTCCTTTTCACAGTGTCTGCTGGGCAAAGCATGATTCCAAAAGTACACTCACCAGAGTGCAGCCAACATTAGGCAAGCTGTGTTTGCTTCTCCTGTCTGTTTAGTCACAGTATCACAGGATTTACATGATATTAGCATTCTGAAGCAACGGTGTGCAGCCAAAACCTGCAGTAAGAATGAATCATGGCTGAAATTATTCTTATGGCAAAGGCTGTGACAAAAATGGGATATAGTTAAAAAAACTACAATGTTGTTGCTATCTCATGATTGCAGTTCTATGGCTCCCTGCATATTCCACATAACCTGCGGTCAGAGTATTTTTTAGGGCTTACCCAGAACTAGATTGCCCACATCCCCGCTCAGCCATAACCGTAATGTCGTTCCATTCAGTGCCACGGATTGCCTTAGCTGTCTGTAGAAATAGTTCGGATTTGGAGCCTCTTTAAGCTACAAGATTTACCCACGGGCCCAGTGGTTACGCGCTTCGTGCCCTGGCAGCAGATAGGCTGTGCTTTCCTAGGGGCTCCGCACCTCCTGGATGCTCACCTCTTTGTGCCGGGCTGTTCCCGCAGCGGCGGCGGCGGCAGACATGGCGTACCACCACATCCGCCCGCCCATCGGATACTCCATCCCCAAACCCATCTGCGCGCTGCTGATGCGGGGCTGGAACGCCTGCCCGGAGGTGAGTGCCGCCCCGCGCCGCCCCGGCGATGCGGTCAGGTCTGGGTGCAGCTCCACCCCCCCGGAAGCTCGCTGAGATGAGCTCAGCTGCAGAATGCGCTGGGACGGGCAGTGGCGTGGGCTGAAGGCACGGAGCGGTTGGTGAGCTGAGGGGGAAGCAGCTGTCAGCAGCCGTTCATTGGGAACTCGAGTGACTGTGGTGCAAAAGTTCAGTTTTGAGTTGTGATGAATAGAGAAGCACTTTTTGCTCTCAGACTTCTGTAGATGTTTCCAGTGAATTATTGATATTTTTCCACGTGAAAAATGAAATCTGTGTCATCGAAAGAGTTGCTCTAAAAGTTATGCTAAAAAGTGTAAACCTGTTTTTCTACCATGTCCTAAAGCCAATCTCTGCACTGAAAAGATATCAGCACGAGAGCTGAGCAGGAGACAAGAGGGCCTGAAGGCAGCAGCAGGGCCCTCCTTGGCACCATCCCACTCCAGGAGCACTTATGGGCAGGACACGGGCACAGCCTGCAATCTGTCCTCTTTCCAGGGCTGCTTTCTTCTTGGCAGTCACTCTCAGCACATAATGCACAGGACTCCTGATTCTTTCATGTTCTTGTTCTTCAATTGCTATTACAAGTAACTCTGGATTCTACTTTCCTTCTCTCAAACAGAGGCTAGATAAGACTAATGAGGATGCAGTCCAAGATGCTAGCTGCAGTGAGGCGATGGCTCAGTGATATGCTTTCAGCCCCTGTCCTGGTTCTGTCCCTCCAAGCTCCTTTGCTCCACAGCCCCTTCCTAGCAGGGCATTATGAGCAGCTGTACCTCCTTGGCTCTGTGCAGCACTGCTCAGCAACAATTAAAATATCGGTGTGCTACCGACGGTGCTTTTCTCCTAAAGCCAAAACATTGCATCACATCAGACACTGTGGAGAAAAGCAAAACTGTCCCAGCTGAAACTAAGACAGATCCACACGTTTTGAAGTTGAATTAGGAACACTTTGGATCTGTTCAGAACTGACGTGTAAAACCTTGGTGTCCAACACCAGCCCTTGCTAACCAGAGAGCATGCAGTGAGTTATAAGATCTGCAGTCAGAGGCCTTCGGTGCAGCATGCTGGGAGGGAGGCAGGGAGACAATGTCCTGGAGACTGGGTCAGTCCTCAGCAACTTAATGGATATGGATGCTCTATAAGGGAAGAGAACCAGAAATCTTAGTGTGCTGCATAAATTTAACATAGAAATGGTTAAAAAAGCATCTGTTTGTATCAAAGTGAACTTTAGTAAGTCAAGCCCAGTAATGCTTCAAGTACAGCAACTTGCACATTAAAGAGAGCAGGTGTGGTTTTGAGTACTGTAAATATGATTTCTCACATTAAATTAATCTCATGCTGTGTGTTAGAGGTCATAAACACCACTTTCTGTTCTGGCCAGTTAACCTTCCTGCCTTATCTTTCTTTCAATTATATGCTGTGTTGTTCTGTTTGTCTCTAACAGTACAGGATATTTGCTGTCTGATTCTTCCCATCACCAACACTTATTCAATTAACTGAGTAAAATGTCCTCAGCTGAATTACTTTTCATTTTTTTCTGATGATTTAATCAAACACTTCTTTATGGCTTCTGAGTTGTTGAAAATTCTCACTGCAATAATGCTAACAACTTTCAGGAAAACAGGGAGAGTTTGTGGTATTGAAGAAAGACAGTTAGTGCTGCACCTTTCTCACATGCTACAGTCAGAACAGTGTTTTAAAGACTGGTGATATTCAGCTGATTATCCCAATTAACTCAATAGCACCAGCAATGAAGAAAATAGAATGTGACAGTGTTCCTTTCTGAGATCCGGAAATGAGGGTCAAAGAAAGATAGTTTTATATTAGCTTTTGCAAGCTGTTGCTATTTCTGCACTAAAGGGAAAACCAACTAAAGCAAAGCTGTAAAAATACCATCCCCAGACTGGTGGGGCCATCACAGCCATGCAGGATTTCGTGGTGCTAAGACCATCCAAATACATTTACTAAACAATCTCTAGATCACTGTCCTTATATTGAGCATCAAATCTTCCAAAGCAGATTGATACTGAGAACTCTTCCAGTTCTGCATCCCACCTGTACTTCCTAGCTGGATGGTTTGTGCACAGCTCTGTGTATTTGCACATGAAATTGCAACCATGGGAGTGTGCGGGTGCCTGCTGGCACACACCCACCAGGGGTGCCTTACTGATGGTGTTACTGCTCTGGCATTTGCTGAGCATCAGAACGATGGGTTTGTTCTGAGTCTGACAGTGTCCCTCAGCAATGGAGGATGGTGTGCAGTCAGCTGAGGTTTATCTCCATGGTGTGTTTCTCACAGAGGATTTCTTGCCAGGCAAGTGACCCTGTGGGCTCCATAGGGCCATCTGTGCACGTGCTGCTGCTGCAGGTGCACGCACGTTTTGACACATGGCCCTCGGCTGTCTGAAGAGGCAACAGAGCTGCTCTAGAGAGGGTTAGCTGCACTAGGAAACACATTGGAGGAGAGGCTTTGGATTTGTTATCACTGTATGTTTGCTTTGCTGGTGCTGTGTTGGCATGTAAGGACCTCACTTAACAGTGGGAGTTCCAAAACATTAATGGGAAGAGATTTTGGAGCTTGTGTAATTTTCTGGTGTGGTGTTACAGAAGCCTTGCAGCATCTGCTGCTTCACATTACTAAACCAGGGATTCTGGCTTTGAATTTCACCCTGGAAACAGAGTCCTGGAACCCCTCTTTCAGTTAGCCTAGCTAAGAAAGGCAGGTAATCGTGTGCCTGAACCTGTCCTTGCTCTGGATGCCTGAAAGCTTTCTTAACTAAAGCACACGTGCAGGTGCTGTAGCAGGACAGTGCAAAGGGAGGTTGGTGTGACTCTGGGCTGCCAAATGACTTTGGAGAGCTCTGTCCCCTTACTATAGTCCATGCTGTAAGCTTATGTTTCAGTTTGAAATCTGCAGATAGAACGTGTTTGCTATGGAGGGTATGGTTAGCTATTTTGTTTTGGTGCTATTACTGTTTCCTGGATACTTGAATGCACTCGTCTTCCATTTTATGAACTAATGTTACACTAGAGATGAGGGGGCAGTTTGTTTTATTCTATGTAACTATAAAGCAGCTGCTAATAACCATCAGCAAGTAGCTCCCAATCTGCTTAAAGTTATTAATAAGGTGTTATATGAAATTGTTGACTTAAGTGAGCAGTATGTAACAGAGTCACTATAACTTGTTAGCAGCTCATTGAGCACCCATAAAAATAAAACACCCTTTTGGAATTTTAATACACTTTGCTATTCACCAGCATCACTCCAACATCACTTAATCTTCCTAATGCTTGAGAGCTGCACGGCAGAATTAGAAGGCAATTGATAGCTCAGTCAGTCAGTGGTAACTCAAATTTTGCACAAAATGTGGGAAAAAAACTTACTGAAGTGGATTTACTTTTTTTTCCTACATGCAATGACTTCACACCCAGTTACAAAGACTTTGAATTATGTCCGAAGGCCCCAGGAAAGTTCCAGGAGGTCCAGGGGATGAACAACAAGGAGAGCCTTTAGTCCGTGCAGACAGTACCTGTCCTAAAACTGTCAGTACAAGTCCCAAATGCTGCTGTGAATTCACAGATTAAAAAGCACTTGTTTTAAAGTGTCTCAGTTACACCATGTCTGTATCTAGCATGCAAATAATCCCTGACACAGGGCTGTCATTCCTCACACGGGGAGAGACCAAGTGCTGCTAATTAATCGTCATAGCAAGCAGAACAAACAAAATAACTGAGCAGTGAAAAGCATCACTTTACTATTCTTTGTCCAGCGTTGCACTGAAGGTGCAAAGATATTATTTGTCTCCGCTTTTATTTGAGTGCAGTCACCTGGTAAGGGAAAATGGTGAACTAAATGGTGAACTTTAGGCTCAGTGGGTGTTCGCTGGTTGGAATTCTCCAGCAGGAACCATGCGAGCACACAGAAAGGGGAAGATAAGGGTTTCTGTAAGTGCAAGTATTGCTCAGGAGCTCATCCTCTGATCTTCACAGCTGTTGCTATGTTAGAAACCTTATTTGTGGGCAAAGAGGAAGCATAGCTCATACATAAACAGTCAATTGTCTACTGTTACTTTTACAAAAACCTTATGGCCTAACTGCTATTAGTTCAAATCTGGTTGTTTCGGGACAAGAATAATAACAAGGTTAAACACACCTCCTCATTTCTGACCTTAGCGCTGAACGTGCAGTTCCCACCTTCTCAAGCAAACTGAAAGCAGTGTGATAAAATTCAAAGGAGGGACGTAGAGGGAATTTGTTACTCATCTGTCTGTGAGTCTGTTTAAGCATAGAAGTTGCTCCTTTAACTTTACACAGCTCTGTTTTGTCTCTTACGCTCACAGGGTAGACCAGAATTCTCAGAAGTGGTCACAAAGTTAGAAGAATGTCTGTGCAACATTGAGGTAAGGGCTTCATTTCTGCTGTGGAGCCTCTGTGCCTATGACGTGTGCTCAGGAATATGAGCAGGTAATGAGGAAAGCAGTGGCTTTGGAGTCTGCAAGCTGCCCCATCCTGTTGCAAGCCAGAACATCACATTTTTAAGGCATGTTTTCAATATTGGGTTCATGGGTGCCGGAGGCAGGCTGTGGGAACCACACAGTGCTGTGTCAGCAGCTGCTCAGAGGGAAGAATGATGAAGAACACATGAGCAGCAGGGCACTGCACTGCAGGCCTTGGCAGGCTTGTGTTCCACATCCAGCAAACCCAGGTCTGCTTCGTTTAAAAAGCAGAAAAGAAAAACTGGCTGAGACCTCTGGGAGAAAGGTAGAAAGAGAAAACATAATAAGGATGAACGCAAAGGCAAATTCCTGCTCTGCCGCTGTGACACAGACAGATGTGCCAGCATTCAGCTTGTGTAATAGAAGTGACCAAACAGAAACCAAACTTGATTCAGGGCTGTTGTTTCTGAAAACATATTTTCTGTGTACTTGTATATGCCTGCAAGAGTTAGGCGAGAAAAAAAAATTCACTCCTCCTAAAACATGTCACTACTCTTGATTTTAGCAGTTGCAAAAGGCACTTCTACACCATTACGTTTCTCCGTGCTCTGGCTGCAGCTGGAAGGTGTTTGCTCGATGGGGAGGTGGAAGGTTTTATGTGTGGGGAAAAAACTGAGAAGCACCAAATCACGAGAAAGTGTTCCATCTCATGGGGCAGCTGGCTTCTGTGATACATAGGCAGCAGTGCATGCAGGAAGAAATCTGGGCCAAGAGCTTAGACAGAAAAAGAAGGGGGAGAAAGCATTTTTCTTTTTTTCTTGTAGCTGGAGAGTGAGATTTCAGCTCCATTGTGTCCGGGGTAAAGCCTTGTCTGAGGGGAGTTTTAAGGAACAAGATCTGTAGTAAGTTAAATGCTGTAGCTAATGAAGGATGAGCACTTGCCTTCTAATTTCTCTTCTTTTTCTTTTCCTTGATCAGCAAATCATTTCTGCCCCTTTTAAATCTCTCTGAATCCAGGTGTGGTGAGGACATCTTGCTCAGCGAGGCTGTGTCCCTGCTGCTGTGTGCATTTATATATAATGCCCTTATGGTCACATGCTAGCCCTGTGTTTGCACTGTCCCACCAGGTTAAACTCCCACCCCGAGGCACTTGGAGCGCTCCCACCACGCAGCACTGCCACCACTGAGTACAGATGGCAGAGTCCCAGGCGATGGCTCCCATAGGGGATGCTGCAGTGCCCCTGGCTGCACAGGGAATACTCACGAGCCACATCACTCAGGACTGGGTTAAAGTGGGTCTTCCTGAAATCGTACAACCCCAGCTTGAAAACCCAAGGTGGTAATGAACCAGCCACTTGGTTTGGTAGACAGCACCCAACGTCCTCAGCTGCTGAAAGTCAAGAGGCACTGTTCTTTTCAGCTGAAATATAAAGCAATAATGGGACGCACAACTTGCAAGAGCGGGGGAAAAAAATAATATGCTGTGTGTATTAACAGTGCCTGTTATGTTTTTGTTTAAATGCAGTTGATGTCTCCAGCTTCCAGCAACAGCAGTGGTTCTCTGTCTCCCTCCTCGTCCTCAGACTGTCTTGTTGCCCGTGGAGGACCTGGCCGCAGTCACGTCGCAGCACTACGCAGTCGTTTTGAGCTGGAATACGCTTTGAATGCAAGAGCTTACGCTGTCTGGTCACAGAGGTACGTACCTGTCGTTGCATCAAGGAGGGCTCTTGTTCCTAAACAACCATAGCTTTTCCCAGGGTTGCGTGGCTTGCCTGCCTTAAATGGGAGTTCTCTGTAGCAGGGATTGCCCCTCACTACCAGGTAAGGCCGTGCAGAACGCAGAAACACCCTGGGTTATACATCACACAGCAGATCCCCTTCAGGGCTGACTGGAAGAGTGTTTTTGCAGTTCTGTCTTCTCCTGTAGCTGCCATAGCACTGTGCTCTGGGTTATCTGAATGCTGAGGAAGCTGTCCTGTTGTCAAAACAACATCTAAGCATTTCATTTTTCACTATGAATAACATCAAATTAGTAGAAAATTGAGGATGAGAGGGAATGGCCTCAAGATGTGCAAGTGGAGATTCAGGTTGGCTGTTGGGAAAAACTTATTTCCTGAAAGGGCAGCCAGTGCTGGAAGGGGCTGCCCAGGGAGAAGTTCAAGAACCATTTAGATGTTGTACTGAGGGATGTGGCTTAGTGGGAAATACTGTGGTAGGCAGGTTGGATTGGATGAGCTTGGAGGTCTTTTCCAACCTCGGTGGTTCTATGATTGCATGATTAAGGTTGGAAAAGGCCACAGTCTGGGCTGTAGGTGAAAGTGTCCAGGCTGAGGAGAAGACAGGCAGCAGCTGTCATTTACTAGAGGAAGGTCATGCTTGACCAATCTGGTGGCCTTTTATGATGGAGTGACGGCATCGGTGGACAAGGGAAAGGCGACCGATGTCATTTACCTGGACTTGAGCAAGGCCTTTGACATGGTCCCCCACCACATCCTTATCTCCAAACTGGAGGGATGTGGGTTTGATGGGTGGACCACTCGATGGATAAGAAACTGGTTGAAAGGCCGCAGACAGAGAGTGGTCATCAATGGCTCTATGTCCAGGTGGAGGCTGGTAACGAGCGGCGTCCCCCAGGGATCTGTCTTGGGACCGGTGCTCTTTAACATCTTTATCAATGACATTGATGACGGAATCGAGTGCACCCTCAGCAATTTGCTGATGACACCAAGCTGAGTGGTGCAGTGACACGGTTGAAGGACGGGATGCCATTCAGAGGGACCTCGAGAGGCTAGAAAGGTGGGCCAAGGTGAACCTGATGAGGTTCAACACGGCAAAGTGCAGGGTTTTGCACTTGGGCCGGAGGAATCCCAGGCATCCCTACAGACTGGAAGGAGCGGTCCTTGAGAGCAGTCCTGTGGAGAAGGACCTGGGGGTCTTGATAGATGAAAAACTTAACATGAGCCAGCAGTGTGCCCTTGCGGCTTGGAAGGCAAATGGGATCCTGGGATCCATCAAAAGAGGGGTGGCCAGCAGGGACAGAGAGGTGATTGTTCCCCTCTACTCTGCTCTTGTGAGGCCCCATCTGGAATACTGCATCCAGGTCTGGAGCCCCCAGTACAAGAAAGACAGGGAGCTGTTGCAGAGGGTCCAGAGGAGGGCCACGAAGATGATCAGGGGACTGGAGCACCTCCCCTATGAGGACAGGCTGAAAGAGCTGGGCTTGTTCAGCCTGGAGAAAAGAAGGCTGCGGGGTGACCTCATTGCAGCCTTTCAGTACCTAAAGGGAGCCTACAAACAGGAGGGGAATCAACTCTTTGAAAGGGTAGATAACTGCGGGACAAGGGGAAATGGTTTTAAGCTGAGGGAAGGGAGATTTAGGTTGGACGTCAGGGGGAAATTCTTTATGGAGAGAGTGGTGAGGTACTGGAACAGGCTGCCCAGGGAGGTTGTGGATGCCCCGTCCCTGGAGGTGTTCAAGGCCAGGTTGGATGGGGCCCTGGGCAGTCTGGTCTAGCATTAGGCGGAATGGTTGGTGGCCCTGCGTGTGGCAGGGGGTTGGAGATTCATGATCCTTGAGGTCCCTTCCAACCCTGGCAATTCTGTGATTCTGTGAACAGACACAGGGCAGCAAACACAAATGCAAAGTTTCTTCTCCTTTAGGGAAACAAAGGGATCTCAGCCTCACCAATCACTGCTGCTGATGTTCCCTGGGATCCTGGGATGTACCCTAAAACTTATATTTCGATCAATATATTCCCACAGAAGGATAAGAGTTCAGGCTAGGTTCTGTGACAAGGAGGCAAAGGGACCCATGGACACATACCCTGGACAGTGGGGGAAAGGGAAAAGTGAGGAGATGGGCCTGAATGAAGGATAATGGCAGCAGTGAACTAAGGGGAAACAAAGAAAACCCTTTTTACTAAATATAATAGCAGAATGTGAGATAATACAGCATAATACAATATGATTGGAAATGAAGCTAATAAATCAAATAAGAGAGGAGTTTGGGTTCGGTAAGCCTCTTACTGTAATGCTGCAGGTGAAGCAGTCAGGGAGCTCTGAGGGCACAGAGGACAGCCTGCAGACCCCCAGTCTGCTTTGTCTTTCCCTCCAAATGAAAAACAGAAGCAGAAAAATGAAGTCTTCTGGGAGCTGTAGTTCATTCTTCCCTTCTGAGCCAAAGATGCCAGAACTATCAGCAATCCATGGGACTGCAGCATTAACTCTTTACTGGTAAGGTGATGTTACAATGTGGAATACTGATGACAAGCCACCATCAAATGGTGACAGCTCCCAGCATTTTCATGGCAAAGCAACATGTGGGTTCCGTGTGCTACTGTAACACTGCTAATGTCTGAGGCAAGTACCCTACTGCCCGGTTCTGAGGGCAAATGTAGCAATCTCCTTTCTCTGTCCCATGGGAACCGAGAGTAATGTGAAAATGGAACGGTGCTCTTAATCTCTGTCAGAAGAGCAGTGCTCTTAGTCTAAACTTTACCCTTTAGCACCACTTAGCAGTCAGAAATTGTAATAGCAGAGCCCTCCTTGCAGTTAACACGGGAATTGAGAAATACAGTCAGCTGAAATGAGGAGCAGCGTTGGAGGAGCGAGGCGGATCGGTCACTGGGGGCTCAGATGGAGAGGCAGAAGGCAAACACGTGCAGGCAGTCACTGAAATCTTCCACTTAAAAATACAAATGACACCCAAAACGTTCATCTGGCATCATAAGAGGTCTCTGGAATTGCTCTGCTGTACAGACAGGACATGGAAGCGGGGGCTGAGTCAGGATGGTGGAAATGTGAGCCAGCCTTTTATTTTCTGTGAAGGGGCAGGTGGCACTCCTGAGTGTAATGATGTGCAGGACAAGAATAAGAAAGTGATGCATTTAGGTTTCAGTGTAGCTGCAACAGAGGGAAACTGGGAGCCTTGTCTGTAACTCAGTGCTCTCCATAACATTTGTTAGCACAGCAGAAGGAGATTTTCTGTGGTCCCAGCAGTTACTTAAAGTTGGGAGCTTTTGTTGCATGTCCTGCCACACAAACTAACAGCAAATAGCACCCAGGAAGGCTTACCCAGGGGCACAGCACTCAGCACAAAGGGAATGGTTTCTTCAATTTTTCAATTGCACATTACACTGATGTGATTAACAGCCTCACTTTCTGATTGCATTTGTTCCTTAGGGCTGATTTTTCCTTTCTTTCTTTCTTTGGTTTGGAAGTATGATCATTTTCAGCAGGAACGGGCCATGTTTGGGGTTTTTCCCTAGTTGGACTGTTTTTCCTGGGCTGTCTTCTGTTTCCAGCTGCTCCAACGCCTTCGTGGCCCATAAAGTGCAGTATGCAGCTCCACCTCAGAAACGCTTCTGATGAAAGCTTCGTGTACCATGGGGTGGAACAGCTGTGACTCTGAGCTTGTTTGTTTCTTGCCTTGTAACTTCGGCTGTGTTGAGCAAACACAAACCTCCTGCCTGCATGGTAACTGTTGCTATGCGCAAAGTAATGAGAGGTGGGCTGCTGCTGCCTCATAGCGAGTTGGATGTAATAGCAATGCATTTTAATTGTCTGATAGGGCAGCTTAGCATCAACTCATCACACTATAGATGCTTAATGTTGATGTTTCACTTCTTTCCACCTCCAGTATCCCCCACAGAGCCTGACAACAATGTCTGACAACGATTAATGGTCTCTTTTTTAAGTAGCTGGTGTATTTCACATCACTGCCTCTTCCTTCTGTATCTACAGAAAAAATTCTGTGACTTGTTTAATCTTATGTAAACTGATGGCTTCTATCTGATTTGCAGCACTGGGCAACACCCTTCTCAGAGTCTGTCTTTGGATGATATGAGGAGAAACTTCCAGTACCCTCCAATTGACAAAAACGGTGAGTTATTGCAGAATATTCCTCCTAGCATCTCAGTATAAACAAGGCAGAGCTGCAGTTTTCTGATAGCCTGATAAGAAAGCTGATGTTCAGTGCACACTGCTAGTTACAGCCAGTGGGAGCTTGAGAGGTCTCACCCCACTCTCCTGTGGCTCCTGGCCCCCTTTCCCTCTGCACCCTAGGCTTTTGGTGATGGTTTCTCTGTGCACATGGATCTGCGAATAAGGAAAGGATGTGGCATTATATCCTCCAGGCTGCTCCTATATTAAAAAAAAAAAGGGGTGGGAGGGAGGGGGGCTAGACCTATTTCTAAAGTACCACAGCAGCAGGAAGCAGCACAACATTTCCTTCTCAACTTTCTCACTCCTCTCAGAAGACATCCCATCGTTCTGCTCCCACCAGAGCAGAAGTTCTGGCACCTCCTTCCTTCTGTTGTCTTGGCTTTCCATCCCCTCACACTTAAGCATATTTTTATGTGCTGCCATGAAAGCAGCTTTCTGGCACTTCCTAGTCCCTATAAAACTCTTGCTAGATAGCTCTCATTCAGGTCTCAGCTTGCAGGCAGCTATTTGGAAGTCTGCTTCTTGCCCCCCATTTCTGAATGGCTTGTGAAGGCAGCAGCTGATTCTTTGCAGTTAGAATGTGTACAACCTTTAAATAGCATATGAACATGCAGATGGCAGCAGGGACTCAGACCTTGGGTAAATCTTTCTTTCTTAGTGTAGAATCTAAAAGTCGGACATTAATTTCACCTTCATGAGATCTTTGTGCATGTGAGGCTCAGCTGAGCATCCAAGAAATGCCTCCCCTGGTTAAAAGCAGCTTTGGCTGTGTGCAAGCTGTCAGGCAGTACAGGATTTGTGCTTAGCTGTGAAGCAACAGTAAATCCCTGCTCAGTAACTTTCTGTGCAGCAATATAGAAGTAGGCATACCTATTAAGAACATGATTTTGGAAAGGCTCCAGCTGCCATCTCACAGTGCTGCTCATTCCACCAGCACAAGCTGATCTGTTTGCCTGAGCATCCTAAGATGCTTCATGGATACGTTGACAGGATGTCTTTTCCCTGTTTATGGGCAGACACAGCCAGAGCTCGTCCCCTGTGAATGCAGCATTCAGTGAGCAAACCTGAGCACAGCGTACTGTAGTTACCTTCACCTCATGACAACACACAGATGGTGCTTCCTGTCTTTGCCCAGAGCCCCACAGACAGTCTTGCTCTTCCCAGCCCCCCAGCCAGGCATGACATTCCAGGAAACCCTGCTTAGCATAGTGGGAAAGTATTTTCTGACATGATCACTCGTGCTCAGCATCACTTGATGTGAAATAAAGCTCTGATACACTCTTACAAAAGAACCACAGATCAGTTAAAGACTGAGGCTTTGGCACTGCCCATGTCAGCCATCTCTGTGTGGTGGGCAAAGGAGACAAACAAAAATGGTAGGAGTCAGGAGTTGATGATAGAAAACAGCAGCAACATCAGTGCTGAGGAGCAGACTTGAGCACTAAAGGACAGCACAGACTTACGATGCACATCAAGGATGTGAGTGAAATCTCCTGGAGGCAATGCTTCATTGCCCAGCCCTCAAAACACAGCAGGCTGATTCCCTAGGTTCCCTATGGCTTACAACTTCTCAATGCAGTGGTCAGGTGGAAAAGCACATTGGAAATACAGCTCTCAAGAGCCGCTGCTGTCCATGTTGCAGCATCAGGACCAAATGTATTTAAAAGCTGTCAGAATGCAGGTTCTGAGCTCTCTGAAACCCTAACTGAGAGGGAAAAATGAAGTATTTTTAATGTCAGATTCCCACTGTGCTATTAAAACAATGAGATTCATGGTTTTGTGCCACTCACCAAAGCTGCTTTGTGCCTATCATGACCTCTTCCCATGCTTGCTTCCCATTTAATTTTTTCTCTGTAGATGAGATTGGAGTTTTGCAGACAGCAAGAAGGTATCAGCATGGTCTGTGCCTATATCCCAAAATAGCATGCACATCATTTTGTTGTCAGTGCAGAGGAAGGCAGAAGTAGCACTTCCACCCCCCCATGAGGATGCACTGAGCTTTGCTCTGCACCTTGCAGGTTACGTGTCAGATCCCATGAGTACCATGAGGTTTCACTCCTGCAGTAGCAGCTTCGAGGAAAGCAGCTGACAGGACCCTGCCTTCCTGCAGAGAGCTGCCAGGACCTGAGCAGCAAGAGTCAGACCGGGCAGCCCAGAACAGAACCACTCCATCTGCTGGTGGTGAGCATCCCCATGATGAGCTTTGTGCCATCACCTGCTGCTGCTGACATGGAGGAGGCAGCTTCTTTTGACTGTGTGTATCTGCTTTTAACAAAGCTTTTACTAAAATCATATGCTTCAGTTTTTCAGTAACAAAAAAAGTAACACAGGCACTCCAAAACAAACCTTTAAGCAGAAGGAAAACCTGAAATGAAGTCGTCTTAGGAAACAGAACACAGAGCAGGGAAATGGACTGTACTTACATCCATACCAATATGTGCCCAACTACAGCTGCTTTGTACCATCTCCTGGTAACATATGGATAGCAGACACTTGAAAAGAACAGGAAAAACTTTTACAGGCTGAAAAGCTCTTTACCTGGCCAAGTGCTTGTAAACAACTTTACTGGTAATTAAAATAGCTGGCTCCTTGTAGAAAGCAATGTTTTTGTTAATTGGTCTCTACAAAAGACGCACCAGGGTTCAGGGGAAAGCATGCTGTATAGCAGTGATCATTTACCAATACAAATGAGAACTCCGCAAAATGTAAATTACTGAACAAAATCACACAGAATCACAGACTGTCAAAGAGTGGAAGGGTTCTAAAAGGATCATCCAGTCCAACCCCTCTGGCAGAGCAGGAACAGCTAGATCAGGTCACACAGAAATGCATCCAGGCAGGTTTTGAATGTTTCCAGAGAAGGAGACCCCACAAGCTGTCTGGGCAGCGTTCTGTTACTCTCACTGTGAAGAAGTTTTTTCTCACATTTATGCGGAACCTCCTATGGCCGAGTTTGCACCCATTGCCCCTTGCCTTGTCATAACATACCCTAAAAGTCATTTGCAGGAATGGAATTCACTTGTGCCATTCCCTGAGAAGTCCAAGAAACGTGCTGAAACAAAACACTGAGGTTTCTTGTCCTACTTTTAAGAACAGCAGAGCCCGTAACCACAGCGATATTTGAGATTGTTACACTGAGGACATACATACCAGGAATAGATGATCTACAGCAAAACAAACCAGCATCCCAGCAAGCGAGCCATACCTCCCCCCGACACACAGCCTGGTACCCACACCTGGCGTGCCCTGCTGGAGCCCAGCACAGCAAGAGGACCTGGGGCCAGGGGTGTGCCCCAAGGTGGGCTGCAGGCAGCAAAGCAGCCATCATGCTCCCTTTGTGTGACTATGCACACAAATCACTGAAAATCCCAGCCATTGAATCCCCAGCTCATTGCACGAGCACTGGAAACATTCCCGCATGTGTGCACACACCAGTGAGGTCACAGCCCCACTTCACAGTGAGGCGCTTGTTGTCTAAGAAGCCAAATAACAGACAGACAAACGCACAGAGAGGAGATAAAGCCAAGCACATATACTCTCAAACACACATCCATAGGCCCACAGTAGCACAGGGTGCAGGCAGGAGGGGACACTCAGTGCAGTACTGCTCCGTACTTTGGAGAATCCAAGTGTGGCAACTGCAGGACAGTGCTGGTGGTTATGGACTTACACACTGCACAGCTGCCGTGGTATGCGACCGATGGCCGAGGTACTGTGGAGTAATATAGAACATCCATGGGGCACAAATCAGTGGTTGGTGTGAACGCTGCAGGAAGGAACACTGAGGGATTGAAGAAAAGGCTCAGAAGATATTTTCTTCCTTGTCCTGGCGTATGACAACGACATCCAGGTTTACATCCTAGCAACAAGATGATGTTTGGCTTTACTGAGAATGCCCTACACTGATGAACAAATGCACTACTGTCTGACATATCCTCCCACTAGCTGCCAGAGTGACCTGGGAAGCAGTTTGCATGCTGACCCACAGCATGGGGCACACAGGGATGGCTCTGCTCTGTAGCAGCCTAGTGGCAGAACAGAGCTGCCAGAGTGTGAGGGGACAGGCAGACATGAGCCCCAGTAGCACCAGGCAAAGCGTGCCCTGGGCACCAGCATGCAGAAGCTGCTATGCAGAAGCATCTCTCGCCCCCATGCCCCAGCTACCAGTGGCAGGTACTTAAGGGGAGTACAACAAACAGGGCAGCAACACAGCATGACATTCTGCTCCCACCAGCCCCAAGAGGAAGGTACCAGCAGGGCCCAGGCAGCACTCACCTCACTGTGGACGTGCTCCCTCTCTCAGGACTCCCACTCCTCTGTTCCTGTGCACCAGAGCAGCCCACAGTTCCTTCCAACACAGCCTCCACTTCTTTCCTCTGGGTACTTCCTCCAAGGCCCAGCTCTGGCAGCTTCCCTTCAATCTGCACTCCTGCTAGCACTGTGTCCTCTTGTGCTGCCCCTGATGCAGGCACTGCAGGCTGCTGCCCCCACAGCCCCAGGCAGCCTCTGCTCTGTGTTCCCTGTGCTGTCTCCAGGGCCTCACACGCCATCACACTCTGGCCTGGAGGTGTCCTTTCTCCCAGCACTGCCTGCTCCCCACCTGTATCACACTCCAGCAGTCCCTGCCCCACCGCTGCCTGCTCTTGTGGCCCTGCTGCTCCCTCCCTCACCTCTTCATCTCCTGACTCATCTCTGGCTCTCACTCCAGACACTCCCATCACCACCCCATCAGATTTTTCTTCCATTGCTCTGTCTGTCTTTGCAGCACTGCCCAAAGAGAGGCTTCCACTCAAAAGCACTATTGCTGAGCCCTCCTCATCCCCTGCTGTTGCTGTCTGCTCCAATGGAGCTGACCCTCCACTGGCAGAGTACCTTCCAGCATCCTCCCCAACTTCTCGCCCAGGTACTGTGTGTATTGCAGGGTCCCTGCCTGAGTCCTTGGGCTCCTTCATGTCCTCTGCCCTTGGTTGAGAGCTGCCTTCCTCCTCTGGTGATCTGTCAGACTCAAATGTCACTGTCCCAAGGGCATCCATCTCCATCCGCTCTTCCTCTGAGACTTTCAGCTGAGAAAACTCATTTGGCTTTAGGATCTCTTCCTTTCCTGTGCAAAATTCTGTATCCCCTGATGTTCCTAGGAGGGCCCCAGCTTCCTCCACAGTCTTCTGCCCTTCAAAAGCAGCTTTTTCTGTGGCCCACACAGCTGCAGGATCACCCACCTCAGGAATCCCTTCTGCCAGATCTGCATCCCCTGCAGCCCCCTGTACCTCAGGCCCCATCCCCCCCAAAACAGGCACTGCTGCTCCCCCCAGCCTCTGCTCCTCAGAGGCCCCATTCACAGCCCTCTCTCCCCCAGTGACCCCCCTGGCCACTACCACACCCAGCAGTGCCCCCATGCCCACGTGCTCATCTCCCCCACCTGCCAGGTCCCTCCAGGGCCCCATGTTCTCTCCTGCACCTGTGGGAGCATCCTGATCCTCAACCTCTGCACCTAGCTCTGTCCCCTTCCCTGGTTCCTTCTCCTCAGCATCACCTTCTGCCATTGCCCCCCTGGCAGGTGCCAACTCATCCAAATGCAGATGCCTCTCAGGGGCTACAGCTGCTTCCTCTCCCTCAGGCTGCAGCTCTCCTGCCCATACAGCTCCGTGCTCAGCACAGTCAGTGCCAGCATGCCCTCGCTCAGCAGCACAGCCTCCATCCTCCCCACGGTCTTGCCGCACGTGTGCCACTTCCACTGCTTCTGACTGCGTGCCAGGTGCTCCTGTTCTGTCTGCCAGGACAGCTCCACCAGCTGCTGCTGAAAGACAGAGCATTTGTTTCATTGTGAACTGTTAATGGTGAGGCTGTTTTACAGGTTCCCTCTCAAAGACATGATTTCTAACAAGCAACGAGGGGGCATCAGCACAGTGCTACGGAGGCTGAGATGCTGCTTCTCCTCCTGTGCTGTGACCAGGCTGCTGGTGTGCCATGCAGGCATTGGGCACAATTAACGTAAGCAGAAACACTGATGCATGACATGTCCTGCTCTGCCTGTTCTGCCCTTCCTGCCCTCCATCCCCACTCACTGCCTGCAGGAACATATACAACATACCTCCAAGCATGACAGTTACATTCAGAAATTCACAAACAGGCAGTAAATTGTTCATGTAAAATACGCATAAATATGAAGGAAAATACTCAGGTGCTTGTGTACAATGGGTAACTGCTTCCCACAGACTCATAACTACACTGGGGATAACCAAGGGCCTTCACCCATCCCTGGGAATCTAGCGCAGTGCTCCCTCATTTCAGTGGTTCCAGGACTCATCCCTGAGTGGATACACCCAGCTGTGTCACAGCCATGCTTTGCACAAACACAGCATGCTCTGGCTCTTTAGAAAACTGCATGTTTTCTGCCACTGAAGGGAGCAAGGAGCACTGCCTCTCCTTTGCCACCCTTCCTCAAACCAAGAAAAGGCTGCCTTGTCCCACATCATCTCTCCCTGTCAGACTCACTTCACTTTCCTGCACTACTGCTGCACTCCACAATTACTGTTTTCTGCTTGGACAACTGCACATGCCACTGAACCCCATCTTGGTCTCATGAGGTCAGGTCTGGAGTTCAGTCTCATTCCTATTCTGTTGTTCACAACCCATGTAAGCAGCCCCATGCCACCTGCCCTCACACCTGCCTTCTCCAGAAGGACCCATACCACTAGGAAGGAAGGGAAACTCACTAAGTGATCCCTCAGCTGTTTTCAGGCAGTGTTTTCACGGCCTGAATTCCTTACCCAGGGTCACTGTAACTGCTGAGAGCACATCAGATATGTGTGGCTGCTGGAGCTGGCTGATCACGCAAGCTGAAAAAGAAAAGAGCACAAAGGAGGACTTGAAAACCCAGAAAGCGAAGTGAAAAGGCCAACACTTCTATAGAGAGATTTCAGGTTAATAAGATTCAATCCATGACCCTGACCTGCAGCCTCACCTTCGCTGGGATCACACTCTGCACTCGTTGCATTCTCTACTTCCTCATCCACATGAGAATCACTACATTCATGGTCAAAATTCACATGATGGTCATTTCCTATTGCCTCTGTTATCTCCTCCTGTGCTGATCTATCATCTTCAGAAGCTAGCACAAAATCACAGAAGAAGCAAGGAAGAGAAACCATCAGAAAGCAGGAAGGACAAAGTCCTCCAGTTCTTGCAGCCTGACTGGAGGTCTGTGGTGTTACGGCAGAGCTATTTTCTTTTTTTGAAGTAGATTAACATCAAACAGAAACAGTGATTAGAAAAAAGGGAGGGGTTGAGAGCAGGGGGAAAAATTCATGCAGGAGCACCTACTGAGACATTAGTCAGCCATCTTCCACAGCACATTCACAGACCTGCAAGATACTTCTGTGAGGATGGAGGGATTCGCAACAAGCAACAACACTGTCTAATGGACACTAAGTTGGCATTGTTCCATAAAAGCATTTGTCTATTTTAAGCTCCCAGCTACATTTCTGATGATTCCTCACTTCCTCTAACTAAGACACGTGACTGAAGTCCTCTACTCATCTACAGGTAGGCTGGGAAGTTACCTTCTGCTCTGTACTTGCAGTGGCTGTGATGCTTCACAGCCCTTCACTGCAAGGGAGACACAAAGGCCCTGGAGGGTGCCCAAAGAAAGGCAAGGAAGCTGTGAAGGGATACATGGGCACATTCACAGAAATACAGAGTATTTTAACAGCTGGAAAATAGTCCAGCAACCGATCCTCCATGCTAACTATGGCTGTGCTTGAGCATAACATACAGGGAAATACAGCAACACGTGCATGCACTGATCACAGCACAGTTCTGCTTAGGGACTGTACTCACCACCTCCTTCACCGCTCTGAGGAGACTCTTCATTTCTATCCTCCACTTCCATCATATTTTTTTCCAAAGGCACTGAAACATTTTTCTCCCCACTGTCCCTTCTGATGTTTGCTTTTTTCTCCTCTTCTCCCCTTATGTTACTTTCTACTGACTCAGCCTGTTTCACTTCCCCAGTAACATCAGGACTTTGATGCTGCATCTCCAGTATGTTTTCATGAAAAGCTTCAGTATTTTCCCTTGATGTCAGAGCTTCTGTTTTTGTCATTTCTGCTTCATCCATTCCTTCCTCTTCCAAAGAGAAAGCTTTCTGACTGTCCTCTGTTCTGAACAGTTTATTTTCCCTGTTCTCATTTCCATACTGTGCACATGCTGTGTTATCAGATGCTTCTTTGATATCACACTCCTCTTTGCCTTTAACATTTTCCTTCATCTTTTCAGTATCAG